GCCAGTTCGGAGGCAAGATCTCTGACTCTACGATTCGCCTCGGTGCCGATTTCTGCGGCGGCGCCGCTCTTCGAGCTTCGGGCACGAGCTCGAAGCTCAGAGCGCGCATCGCTCCTCTCTGCAGGAAGGCCTGGCGTCTCGGACGACAGGCCGGGAACCCGGGTCGCCGTGCTCTGGGGGCGTTCGCTCTCCCAGGGAGGGGCGCGCGGCGCGGACGTCCTCGGCGTCGGCGGCCAGGCCCTCCTGGCGACGAGACGGCCAGCCTCCTCCGCGGTCGGGCCGTGCTCCACGGGCGGGCCCCCTGCTGCGGTCGGCACGTCGTCGGGCGGCCCCCTGCTGGAGAGCAGCCTGCGCTCCTCTGCCGGGGTGGAGGAGCGAGCTGCGGTTGGCTCGGACGCGTGTTCGCCCGTTCTCCACCCGGCATCCTGTACCGAGGCAGCGTTGGCAGTCGGTCTTTGCGCGGCCTCGTCTAACCCGGCCCATTGCTCGTTGCCCCCCCTCTCGGCGTTCCGTCTCGCTCTTGTGCGCCTCGGCTGGGTCATGAATGGTTGCATCGTTGTGACAGACGATCGCGGCTACACCCTTAGTCTTGGATTGATCCCCCCCAGCCTCCTGGAGACCCTCTGCAAGGATGCCTTTCGCCGGGGCCTTGAGAGAGACCTCGGTGGCAAGTGGGATGCGGGCTGCAGGTTTTGCCTTGATCTTCTTAAGGCTTCCATGAGCAGTGAGAGGTTTACCCGGCCCATCGTGGCTGGACCCACGCATGCTTCTGTGATGTTATATGGGCTGCCGACAGAGTTTTAGCGTGCGGGTGTCATGTCGAACATCTGTGTCCACTCTGTCGGCATGCCCCTGACAGCATCTTCTGCCGACTGTGGCAGCGCACCGCGGAGACAGTGGCGCAGCTCAGGCCCCAGTTGGTCCCCCCCTCGGTTGTCTCTGCAACTGGCACAGTTTGGGCTGCTGAGGCTGACAGCCACGTGGTGGCCCTCTATATTCGAGGAGCTTTCCCTCATCCCGCCGATGTTTTGCAGCGTCCTGCTGTGGAAGGTTCTGAAGCCTTGCTTTATGCTTGGCATGTTGATGTGCTCCAAAGCCTGGTGTGTCCCAAGGTTCCCGTGAATCGAAAGATGTGGGGTCACCTCTTCCTTGATGGTTCCTGCCGGCGCCATGTTACTCGCGAGCTGTATCGTGCTGCGTGGTGTATCAGCATGAACTCGGATGATGGGCAGTGACTCGGACAGGTGCGCGGGCCCGCTTGGACTCATTTCCCTCAGTCTCGCCAGGCGGCTGAATATTCAACCAGATGTGTAGTATTGCAATTTATCACATGCCCTTCGGTTGTGTAGAGCGATTGTGTCAATGTAGCTCATCGCTCTCTTCTGCCGCTGCCCGAGTGGTACTCGGGTAAGATGTCTTAATGCAGGCTAGGAATTTCGAAGATGATCGCGACCAGTCTATTACTAAAGTCAAGGCCCACCTTGACGTGGACCAATTTGGCATCTCTCGGTGTGAAAGGGTCCTTCGCAGAGGCAATACAGATTCTGATACTGGGGCTAGGCGCGGTGTCCAGTTACACCCGTCAGATTCGGCGAGCATGTTAGAGACACATGCCTTAGTCACTGCTGCTCGTGCCAATTGTATTCTAGCTGCTAGTGTAATGCCCTTATGGCCCTAGCTCTCCTTAGATGTGCCATATGTTCCGACCCCTGCCCCTCCCAGACCCCCTGGGCGACCACGCGCCTGGAAGAAGTGGTCTGGTATTTGGAGGTGCGCCCAGTGTTTGCTCGGTAAATCGGATCCCGCGAAAGCCCCCTTCTGGCAGTTGCTCCAATAGGTCTAGATTCGAGACAACCCTTTCCAGCGTTTAGAGCATCGAGTTATAGCTTTCCCGTATTCAGACGGATCGGTGCTCTTCATATGCATTAGATGCAAGTGCCATTCTATTGGTGGCATGGTTGAATGCCTCGGGGAGAGGTGCAAAGGCAAACCATCTATGCACTCGCCTAGTGGATGGAGATTGTTGTGCCGAGGCATCCACCCGCATGAGAGACGCCGCCGCGTCACAGTTGCGGTGGACAGTGTACTTGATTTTTTTGAGTTGTCTTTGTCGTGTTTTTTCGGCCGCTCTCCTGTGTAGAGTGCGGTTCCTATCTGTTTCCTGGAGGCTATGCCGAGGAGGCGTGGCGTCGGCTGTGGTGACCTCAGTTTTGCTTGCATTCTGTGTTCACTCCGAGTCTTTCTGGCCCTAGTCCTGGTGTTTGATCCCTCGGCGTTGTGGGCCGCAAGATCAGCAGAGGTAGTGGTGTTGTGCAGCTGACTGATGCCTCTACTGTCGAGCCTGGTGTACCAGGCTGCGTGTGGCGCCGTCGCCACCCGCCTTCTTGTCGCGCCCGCTGCAAGGTTTTTTTAACTCGCAGCATTTTCCACATATGTTGTGTGCAGTCGTCCAGGTGACTATTTTGGTGAAGCCGTCGAGGTCAAAAACATGGAGTTGGTTACTCGGTGTTTGAAGCCGCCATCTTTGCCATGTGACGACTGGGGTGCAATAGTTTCCCGCTCCCTGGCGATGCCGTTTGGCGAGTCAATCATTATATGATGTCGTTCCGCCCCGTCTGTGGTGCCACATGACGAGTAGAGTAGGAACATTGTTTCCCTCCGCCCACCCTGCTTTGCCATGTGATGGGTAGGGCAGTAAACGATTTGTTTCCGCCTAGTGGGTCCATATGGCGAGTAAGATAAGAACGGTATTTATCCGCCCCCTGTGTGGTGCCATTGGACGAGTTGAGAATAGTTAGTGCTCTTGTTCGCCCCCCCGCGCTGCCATGCGACGAGTAGCGTAGAATATTAGTCTCCGCCCGCGCTGCGTTAACACGTGATTGATGGACCAGCATTTTTTTCCGCACCCTTGCGGCGCCACGTGATGATCGGAATCTGTAGTACGTTTTCCGCCCTCTGCCGCGAAAGCCTTTGCTCAGGCATACACGCCCAATAGCTTCACAGTCCGAGCGTGCTCCGCCGCCCACGGCTTCCTCTCCCCCCTCTGCGCCTTCCTTGTCCTGGCTGTGCCCAACCTGGCCCCGAGGCGCCTCTCGGCTGCCCCGACCGCGTCCTGGTCCACGTCGCCGCGACGAGAACGTGTCCCGCCCTCGGCCGCGAAAGCTGGAGCACGGGCAGAAGCAGCCGCTCGTCGCACCCTTTCGGGCTGGGCCAGCCCCACGGTCGATCTGGCGCCCCATGTGTACCCGGGGGCCCGTCTCCCTCCGGGCTTCCAGCCGCTGGGCCGTCGGAGGCCCAATCGTTGTCCACGACCTCGGCGGCGGGCCCACGGGGGCGTTCGGAGGGCTCGGGAGAAGGCCTCGGGCCTTCTGTGTGCAGTCCTCGGAGCCTCCCCCGAAGACGCACAGGGCTTTGCAGAAGGCGCGAGGGCTTCTGAGAAGCCCTGGCGCCTCAGGAGAAGGCCTGCCCCCGTTCTTTTCCCCCCCCGGAGCTCGCCGCCCAGTGTCCGCCGCCAGGCCCAGCTCATTCCCAGTCAAGTCTAGACGCGTGCCCTGACAGGAACTGCAGTCGGACTTGATCGGAGAGGACACGCGAGAGGACACAGGACCCTGCCGAGGGCCACGCTGCCACAGAACATGCAGGAGGCACGGGTCGCGAGACGCAGGACACGAGAGCACCCTTGCCTTGGCAGGGTCGACCTGCTAAGCCGGGCCGCCTGTATCGATGGTAAGACAGTGCGTGGGCACACAGCTCCATAAGCCGCACCTGGTGCTTGCCCGGGCTCCCGGCGGGGCTCAGCCCCGCCACGCCCGCGCTCTGCGCAAGGGCCCGGACGCCTGGCGCCCCGAAGAACCACCGGGGCGGCCGGCTGGTCGCCACCGTCGGCCCCTGGAGGCCAGCGTCGGCCAGGGGGAAGCGTACAGTCAAGACTCTGAATCAAGCCACCGTTGGCCTGTGGAGGTCGATTCATGGAGAGGAAGCGTGCTGCCAAATGAGTTCCAGATGTCTGCAAGATGTCTGGAACATGTGTAGGAGATGCAGGAGGAAGCAGGCTCGAAACATTCTCAGGACATGCTTTACACATGTTGAACACATCTTTAGTTCGATTATAGGATTGTTAGAGTGTCCACTGTCATGGCATCCACAACACTTGGTGCAGAGGAGGGGCTCTGGTTTTCGGGCCGCTCCTCAGCTCCAGGTCGGGAGAGCCCGCCCGTGCCCGAGGCTGGGCGCGGCCAGAACGGCCCCTGCGTTGCTCACTCAGCCGTCTGCTGGCGCCACGGCGGCTGCACTCGGGCCGAAGCGCTGGCCCCGACGCGAGGGTCGGGGCTTCTGGGCGCCCCGCTTTGAATTTGAACGGAGACCGCGGCAACGGATACCTACGTCGGCGCGCCGCGCCCATGGGGGCGCGGCACCTCCGGCGCGCGGCGGTCGCGTGGGCTGTCAGTTCGGGGCTGTCTGCGGCGGCGGCCCTCTGAGAAGCGCACGGGTTGCCAGGGCCGTTTCTTTCAGACACCCTCGCGATCGCAGGCGCCGATGCTTAGACTCATCGCGACTCGCTCCGCGTGCTTGCCAGCTGCGTAGGTGGCCCGAAGCTCGAGATCGAGCCACACGCTTGCCACCACTGAAAGCAATGCTCTTGAGTAGAGTCGGCTCCCCCACGTGCACCGACCCTCCCACGCTTCCCCCTCCTTGAAGGCGGATGGGGGTTCTGAATTGATTGGGGCCCCCGAAAATTGGTCCGGAGAGGGGCATGAGGCCAAATCCGCTCAAAATCGGTCCCAGGACCCCTCCCGGGGTCCCTCTGGTGCAAGTTTTCACGCGCAGATCCTTTTCAACGGCCCTCTGGGCCCGAAGACGGTCCCCGGAGGCCGAACAAGGCAACAAACACGTCATCGAAACCAGAACCTGGCACCTCGCCCGCCTTCCTCGCACGCCGGGGCCCATGCTGGGTCACCTCGGACCCCCAGCCGCCTCCAACCCCCTCGGCTCGCGGCAAGGACGAGGACGGGCCTTGCCACCTCTCGGCCAGCTCGTCGGCGGCGGCGCCCACGGCCTCGCGTGCGGCGTGCTCTGGCGGCCGTCCAGCGCAGCCCGCGGGGGTGCTCGCGGCCGGGTCGCGGGCGGTGCTGCACGGCCTGGCCCGGCGCCCCGACCTCAACGGCCGCATCGGCACGCTGCTGGCGTGGGACTCGCAGGCTCCGGATCTTTGGGCCGATGCCCAGCCCCATCCCCAGCCCCATGCCGAGCCCCACCATCCCGCCACCCCAGTTGGGCATCTGCCCCTCGAGACCCGAAAGGAGCGGCCTGCAGCTCCATCCAGGGGTGGAAAAGCGGTGAGGAGGGACCGGTGAAACGATGCTCACAGGCGGGCCGCTGGGAGTTCTCGGTCGACGGCGGCCCGGAGCGGCTCAGGTCGAAGGGGGACAAATCGGCATAGTAAGCATAGACTTGCGGAGCTCCTCGCAGACCTCTTCGGTCTGCGCTGGGCCACCTGGCAGCGCCTCTGGCGCCGCCCCTGGCGCGCTATGCGCGCCAGGGAGAGGTGTCCAGCGCAGCTCCGAGAAATCCGCGCGGAGCTCCAGAAGTCTATGCGTATGCCGATGTGTTGTTCCTCTATCAGGGTGCGGTCCGAGAACGTGCGCGTGGCTCCGGGCGGCTCCTCGTCGTCCTCGTCGTCGGCCCCGCCTCGCGCGCAGCACTCGCTCGAGGTACCCGACGAGTTCCGGTGCTGCATCACGAAGGAGCTCATGGAGCAGCCAGTGATCACCTCTGACGGGCACACTTACGAGCGCAGGGCGATCGCCAAGTGGCTCGAGGAGCATGGCACGTCGCCAAAGACTGGGCAGGAACTGCCGGACAAGGTGCTGCGGCCCAACCACAGCATGCGCGCGCAGATCATTTCCTGGCGCGAGCGGTATCGGCTGCCACCGTTGCCCCCGTGGGAGCCTGAGCCGCAGGAGACCGTGCAGACGATAGAGCCCCAGAGTCAGCCGGGACAGCCGCCACCAGGCAGGGGGCCGACAGTCACGGTGCAGACGCCCGCTGGGCGCATCACGTTCCCGGTCGCAATGCTTCAAGGCGTTGTCCCTGGCGGTGGTGAGGGTCCGATGCCTGTGCCGATGGGCACAACCATTACTACCATCAATACGAGCGAGGCCAGCTTGATGAGCATACTGCAGGGCAGCCCCACGCTGCGCGATGACCTGCTGACGCAGCTGCGCGGCCTAAGCGGAGACGGTGTCGGCGAGGCCGAGCTCGGTGCAATGGACAACGAGGAGCTCGTCCGCATCACGGCCCAGCATCCGCAGCTGATGGAGGTGGTGATGCGGCACCTGCACTCCAACCCTGAGCTGATGGCGCAGATGGGCCCAGGCGCTGGCGGCGCCGCAGGCTCTCAGGACTCGCCGATCTTCCGCGCCGCGAGGGAGGGCGAATGCGGGGTCGTCGAGCAGCTGCTGGGCTCAGCCACTGGGGAGCGGCTGAGGCGGGAGCTCTCGGCCAACGGTGACTCGCTGCTGCACGTGGCCGCGTGGTGTGGGCACGTCCGGCTCACCGCCATGCTGCTCGCGCGCGGGCACCCGATCCACGTGCCCTCGCGGAACCGCTCCACTGCCCTCCACTACGCCTCTTTCCGCGGCCACGTCGACGTGACGAGGCTGCTGCTGGAAGCCCGCGCGGATGCCGAGAGGCGGATGATGGGCGGCGACGTGGCCATCCACCAGGCTGCGTGGCAGGGCCACGCGGAGGTGCTGCGCGCGCTGCTGGAGAACCGCTGCGACGTGCACGCCATCAAGGACGACGGCGACACGGCGCTGTCCCTCGCTGCGCTGCGTGGCCACGTGGCCGTCTGCAGGTTAGGGGGCAGAACCCCCCAACCTGACCAAGAAGGAGGGACTTCTCCTCTGCTGGTCGGCACGTTGCTTGAAAACGCTATGTCCGCACAGTGTTTGGAAACGATGGGTAGGCGAGGTGTTAGAAAACGCTGGATCCGCAATCCACGCGGTGTTTGAAAACGCTTCTCCTCGAGGGGGAGTTCCCCCTCTCGAGGGAAAGCCGTGTCCAATCCTAGACCGCCCCCGCCTCCTTGGTCTGGGGTAGGGGGTTTCCCTCCTCCTCAACAGGGAGCTGCTGGCAGACCCTGACGGCATAGCAATGCGGAATCACCGCGGCCGCACGCCGCTGCACGCGGCTGCGATCGGAGGGAGCGCCGAGGTGGTGAGGGTCCTGCTGGAGGCGAGCTCGTGCGTGGACTCGATCTCGGAGCACGAGGAGACCCCGCTGCACCTGGCCGTGCAGACGGGCTCTGCGGCCGTCGTGGAGGCGCTGCTGGACGCGAGGGCGAACGTGGACCTGCCCCAGCTGGCCACTCCGGACGAGCACTCGCCCCTCCACATGGCCGTGCATGCCGGCAGCACGCGCATCGCGCAGCTGCTGCTGACACACCGGGCCTCGATTGAGGGCTCTCGCAGGCACCAGCGACGACGACGACGACGAGGGCGACGACCACGACGATGACGACGGCGATGACGACGACGCAGACGTCGAAGATGGCGACGACGACGGGCGACGGGCGACGGGTGACAACGAGGACGACGACGACGACGAAGACGGCGACGACGACGACGACGAGAGACGAAGACGGCGACGGCGACGATGACGACGAAGACGAGAGACAGAGGCGGCGACGGCGGCAGGCGACGGGCGACGGGCGACGGGCGACAACGACGACGACGACGCCGATGACGACGACGACGACGATGACGACGACGCCGACGACGAAGACGAATACGACGACGACGACGACGACCACGACGACGACGACGACGACGACGACGACGACGACGACGACGACGACGACGACGACGACGACGACGACGACGACGACGACTACGACTACGACGAAGACGACGACGACGAGTGACGGCGATGGCGACGGCGACAGCGTGGGCGACGGCGACGGCCACGACGGCGGCGGCCAGCGGTGGCGTGGCCGACGCTGACGACGACGCCGACGCCGATGACGCCGACGACGACGACGACGACGCCGCTCACGACGACGACGAAGACGACGACGGCGACGACGACGACAATGACGACGGGCGACGGTCGACGACGACGACGACGGGCGTCGACGACGACGACGACGACCACGGCGACGGCGACGACGACGACGACGGCGACGTCGACGACGACGACGACGAAGACAACGACGACGACGAGCGACGGCGATGGCGACGGCGACAGCGTGGGCGACGTCGACGGCGACGGCGGCGGCGGCGAGCGGTGGCCGCCGACGCTGACGACGACGCCGACGCCGATGACGCCGTCGACGACGACGACGCCGCTCACGACGACGACGAAGACGACGACGACGACGGCGACGACGACGACGACGGGCGACGGTCGACGACGTCGACGACGACGGGCGTCGACGACGACGACGACGACGGCGGCGACGACGACGACGACAACGACGACGATGATGACGACGACGACGGCGACGACGATGACGACGAAGATTTCGACGACGGTGACGACGAAGACGACGACGACGACGACGAGCGACGGCGATGGCGACGGCGACAGCGTGGGTCACGGTGACGGCGACGACGGCGGCGGCGAGTGGTGGCGTGGCCGACGCTGACGACGACGCCGACGCCGATGACGCCGACGACGACGACGCCGCCCACGAAGACGACGAAGGGACGACGATGCCGACGACGACGACGACGACGGCGACGACGACGACGACGGCGACGACGACGACGCGACGGCGACGATGACGACGAGCTGCTGCGTGGGCCACGATGAGCGTCTGCGTGGGCGACGGCGGGCGGCGGCCCGCGGCGAGGGACGGGGTCACGCCGCTGCACATAGCCGCTGTGCACGAGGCGACCACGAGCAGGAGGTCCGGCGAGGGCTCCTTGGTCGCGGTGCTGGCGGCGGCCCAGGGCGACGTCAACGCCCGTGCGAGGATCGCCTGTCCGAGGCTCAGATGATAGGCCGTGTGTCGAAAAAGAACGGACCGGCGTAAACAGGAACTTTCGGAGCTCCGCCGGGATTTCTTGGATCTGCGCAGGTTCCCCCCCTGGCGGAGCCTGCGGCGCCAGGGAGGGGGGTATAGGTCGGGCCCCCGTCACCCGGGAAAGAAGAAACGGTCACGAGCCATCCTGTGGTGTTTTGTCTTCGTTTTGACAGCGCCCCGCGTTCCTCCTCCTCCTCCTCCTCCTCTTCCCGCTGCCCCTTCCTGCCTTCCCTTCCTCCCGCTCCCCCCCCCTCCCTCCTCCCAGCATCACGATCATCCTCCTCCTCCTCCTCCTGCTGCTCCTCCTCCTCCTCCTCCTCCTCCTCCTCCTCCTTCCGTAGCCAGTTTGGCTCAAGGCAACTTGAGTGGGCAGCCCGCATCTTGCAGGCCTTCCTGGTTGTCGTGACCAGGCGGTCAATTCTTTGTTTTCTCTTTCTATCCCAGACTCCACGCCGTTCTCGGCGCTGCCCCTTCTGGGTGAACTGAGCCTTTTCCAGTTCCTGGGAGGGTCAGCGTCCCTGTTTCAGTCACGGCCGGCAAGGCTGCTGTCAAATGTGATTAGGACCAGGTCCATTCGATCATCATTCGCATGTCGGAGATGCTCGAGGCGAACAACTACAAGCTCCTCGAAACCATGGGGACGAATATCAGTATGATCAGTAAGGATGTGGAGGCACAGCTTAGGACGCATAGTGACACGCTCACGACCCCTGGCGCTAAGGTGAAAAGAGCAGGGAGGAGCCATTCTCGCGCTTCATGCAAAGAGTGCAGTATCACCGTCGGCAGTGAGCACAGAGGGCAGCACCTCGGGCAGTGCCGTGCCATCGTGGGGATTCAGTTCGGATCGTTCTTCGGATGGTTCCAAGAGCCGCGAACTCGATCAGATGGCCAATCCGTGCGTCAAGTATTTCCGCCCCTTCCCCAGGCCTCTGTTGCAGAAGCCTCGCGAGGAGTTTTTCAAAGAGCCGCAGCAGCGTTTCATTCAACTAGGAGATGATGTCGAGGTCACCTACCACGCGGTGATCACGAACGTCAGGGTCACTTTTAAGAGGCATGCGTATGCGAACAAGTCCTACCAGGAGGCGAACGACGCTGGTCTTGTTTGGAGTGATTTCAGAGACAACAAGAGTCATCCAATACGGGTGAGAGGGAGCATGCCGCTCGACGTGAGGATGAACAAATGTGCGCTATCCGTGTCGCGGCCGCCCATCGATTCCGAGCTCCCCACCCATCCCAACTGGAAGAAAGAATGCCGCCTCGGGGCCAACGGTCGCAAGGGGATCATGCAGGTGACAGGCGACGACGTGCGGGCGCTCGTCAAAGCCCGTGCCGCGCCCCAGGAGCGTTTCAAGTCGAGCCCGTGCGCGACGGGCTCAACGCGTCGGGTTTCTCTCCCGACGACATTAGTGCCATCTTCGTGCGCGCCCAAGTGATGTTCGTGAAGGTTCGAGTTAGTCGACGTGCGCGACGGCGACCCCCTCCTACGTGTGACATGTGATGAACCACCCGTCCCCTTCCGCTTCTGTCTTGCCTGCTGGAGCGCCCCAGCTAAGAGTCTAGCCCTCTGCTTCGCCCCCCCCTTCCCGTCGCTCAGCCGCCTGTGCCTGGTTGCAGCGGCGCTCTAGCGATTCCTTCGATCAGAGGGGGGGTGGCCGAAATCAATGTTTTCCAGGAGCAAGGGTCCACTTCGATGAGTTAGCTGCCCCCCCCCTTCCGCGCGGGCCCCTTCCGTGGCGAGAAGTGAACCAATCCAGCAGCTCACTTCAATTCAGCCTCTTCGTATTGTTTCCTGGAACTCGCAAGCTTTGACAGGGGTTGCTCTGGTGGCCGGAAACGCATCGGCAGTGGGCGCGTTAGATTACCACGGCTACTTCAGCGTCGTGATATTGTTTGCGTTCAGGTGGTGCATGGGCGCTTAGGGGGCCTCCCGTGCACTCAGAAGGATACAGAAACTCACCTTGTTCTAGGACCGTTCTGCTCGTCCTCTATTGCTGGAGGGATCCTGATTTGCGCGTCGCGCGACCTGCTCTCCAAGTTTGCGCCAGATTTTGGCTCCCAGGAAGTGGCCCCTGGGTGAACGGCGTCGCTTGCCCTGTTCTCTGACGAGGGCGGCTTGCACATCGTCAACTTGCACGTTGATCCTGCTCTGCCTGAGGAAGACGTAAGAGCTCAGTCCCAGGTCTTTTCTATATATATATATATATAATAATACTACAATTTCTTATCTCCCTGCCGCCTGGAACCTCGGGATGCCGCGTGTGCTCTCGTAGTGGGTGACTTCAATTTCTCGGAAGTTGGGGGGTCCAGAAACTCCCAGACTGCTGGCGTGGGGAGGGTTCCAGCTCATCGGCTGGTAGCTGTGTTTCAGAGCATGCCCCCGCGTTTCGCGGAGCTCATTCAGCCCCGCTTTGCCCGTCGCACTCCTCCAGTTGATCGCCCTGCTTATTCTCGATTGGACAGACTCAATTCTAATTTTCCTCCGTCGAATCTTCTCGACTTCTTTCTTGCTAGCGGCGGTGTGTGTGTGTGTGTGTGTGTGCGCGTGTGTGCGTGACATTGCTGACGTGAGTGTGCCGAGAGACCACGTGCCCGTTTTCGTGGCCATGAAGATTTGGGCCCTCCCTGGACGCATGTCGATTCCGCCGTGGGTCTCTAAGCATGGTGCGTATCCTGAGCCCGTTGCCTCTCTGATTGGCGGCGTTCAACTTAGCGATGATCAAAACGAGCGTCCGCGACAAGTCAAGTACATTATGCGTGCTGCTGCCGCTGCAGTCGCGCAGCGTGTGCTCAAAACGAAGGCGATCCATGTTCCAGAAAAGATTGCGCGCTGTCTCAAGCTCATTCGTTGCCGTCGCTCAGGTTTTGCTGCAGCTGCCCGTCAGGCTTCCCGATCTTGCTTTGCACTGGCAGATTTTAAAGACGTCGACCTCCTAGAGTGGGCGAACTGGGAGGCTATGCGCAAACATGTGGGTCAGCTTATCCAGGGGTCTCATAGGGCAGAGGAGGGGGATATCAACGATGACGCCAATGCACATAATCGTGATTATCATACCTAGCGCATTAACAGGCTCTTGCAGGCATGGGCGCGGACTGGCAATCGTATCTTCTGGAAGGCTGTTCTTGATCCACGAGGTTGCTCTCGTGCCGATTCCGACGCAGGTGCTGAGTTGCTCTCTGACCACTGTGGCAAGATCTTTAAAGGTGGTCTTCTAGGGCGTATTCAGCCAATTCCTCTTGATGGTTGCCAGTGTGCCAATGCTACGCGCCACGTGTGCCCCTGGGAGGCGACATGGGATCAAGTCAGAGGCCTCTTGAAGTCTAGGAAGGGCTCTACGCCAGGACCTGACGGGGTCCCGTTCTCCGCCCGGTGGAAAACTGGCGAGGATGTGCAGCAGGTCCATTTTGACCGCTACAAGTACATTCTCCGTGGAGGCCAGGTAGACGACGATTTCAATCGCTCGAGGATGGTGATACCCCCGGAGGGCGACGCATATGCCGGCGGTAGCGCTGAACAAAACCCTTCCCAGACCCGCCCACTTGTGCTCTCGAGCACGGACAGTGAGATCATTGCAGCCCTTATCGCGGAGCCCATCAGTCGAACCGCAGAAGAGCAGGTGGGCCCTGCTCGGCGCGGGTTTGTACGAGGCCGACGCCCACTGGACAGCATTATTGAGATAGATGCCAAACTTTCCTTCTGGTATGAAATGAGGGCGTACAAGCGCGTGGGAACTGCATTTTCTGATTTGCGCGCTGCTTTTCACAGTCTCTACAAATCGTGGATGTTTTATGTGTTGTCTGATGTTTGGTTCCCTGAGTTTTTCATCAACGCTATGCGTGCTCTATGCGCTAACGCCCAGTATGTCCTTTCCTTCCAAGTCTCCCGCCGGTGATGGGATTGCAACGGGGCTGTCCTCTGTCTGGCGTGCCGTTTGTTATTGCCGCATCGTCTGCTGGTGCAGTTGCAGCGGCGCGCGAAGGTGAAGGGCCCGGGCATTCCTGTTTCGCTGTCGGCGCGCGCCGACGACCTTGCCATGGCCTCCGCGGATATCTGTCAAGCGTTGCCAGTGATCATAGTGATCACTAAGCTTACTAGTCTTGCTGGCTTCTGTGCGGCCGCATTCTGAATATCCAGAAGTGTGTCGTCCTGCTCCTGGGCCCTGTGTTCCTCTCCCATGCGGTGCAACACTTTAGGTGCTACAAGTTTAACGCCTCGAAATTCAGCATCGTGGGTGCCGCCGAATCCCCGGTGATCATGGTTGGCCTTGACTGGCCCGATCTTTCCTGGATGGGGGTGCCTCAGTAAGATGTACATGAGGGCGGCGAGGATTAAGAGTATGGGGATTGGGCTTGCTCCTAGCATTATTGCGCACGATAGGTATGCTGCACCCGTTTGCGCATTTGGGCAACTGTATTCGCGTGCGCGTCATGCGCGTCGCGTTTTAAAGGGATGCCACCAGCTGTGCGTTCAAGCGCGTCGGCGCAGTTTCCTTCCCCGCCTCTTCTTCTGTCTTAAGGATTTGGGCTTTCAGTAAAATTGTATTCGTATTGACATCAGTTCCAGGGCCTCCATGCTGCGTGTGCTTTTGAGTTCCGGGGGCTGCCAGGAAATGGGAAATAAGTTCCAGAAGGTTTTGGATGATGACGGGACCTACATATACTCGACTGTGGCCAGGACATCGATTTTCTACCAACTGCTGCTGCTAACCTTGAACATTCCTGCGAGGTTTGGTGCAGACTTTCCCCCGAGTGTCTTCAGGCTGCTCTCGCAGAGCCCCTCTGGCAAGATATGTCTCCAGGAAGTGTTTCTGACATTCTGCTCCCCAGATGTCGGAAGTGGCTTCCAGAGTTCAGCCTTCCCGTTATGGACAGATGCCTCATGGTCATGAAAGTTGCGGCTGGGAAAGATCCCAGCCTACATGTGAGGTGCGGCGGCCAAATCTCTCGGCAATGC